TCAACCAACCAGATCGAGCAAGGGGGGCCAGAGATAGGTCAAATCCACCCAAATGACCCCAGATGGCCCAGTTTTTGGCTAAATCTCTCTAAAAAGGTCAAATTTCACTTGTTTTGCATCAATCTTGATACAGGGTACTTATTATATGTTGTACTTTGGATTCCTAAAGCTTTTAGTCTACTAACCCATCATCCAAGGGTAGTTTTCACTATCTGTAAAAAATAATTTTTGGACGGACACTATAATTTACAGTTTTTTACTATGTAAAATCTGAATTTTCTTTAAAATAAAAAACATTTATATTGATTCTGACACTTCTACATCCAACTCACAGGTTTATCATTACTTTGAGAAAAAAGATTATTAATTTAACCCTTTTAGAAGGGAAGATATGGTCATTTGTTCTGGGAATGTCATTTTCGAGCCTGAGACCTGAAAAACAGGCTCAGAGTGGAACAGGTTAATGTCTTTCATTTTTGTAAAACACTTTTGAATGTGTTATATTTGATGAAAACATTTAAATATTAAGAGTACATACTCTTAATATAGTGGGAAAGTGGAAAGTCAATGATATAAATAATATAGAATAGAAAATATCAAGAATATACTGTAAGTGATCTCTACAATAAAACAGTTTAGTGCCTGATAGGAGGATGTGCAAAACAGACAAACTAATAAGGCTTTATTTAAACATTAAAGAATACTTTAGGTTAAGGTCTTCTTTTAAATAAGAAAAAAGCTTTGGGGGTATCTACAGATATTAAGCCTGACAAAGTACTTAACGTCTAATATATTGCATGGTTTGTTTTGGAACTTGACAATCAACTTTCCTGCAATGTTAACTATGTTGAAGCACTTATTTGAACTGATATTATACATATTAATTATACTTATTATACATATTAATTATAATTTAGTCCGGCAGTGGCTCAGTCAGTAGGGGCTTGGACTGGGAGCCGTAGGGTCGCTGGTTCAAGTCCCCGACCAGACCTAAATATGGAGTGTGGACTTCTACTTGGAGAGGTCCCAGTTCACCTCCTGCCCTGCCGTGGTGCCCTTGAGCAAGGCACCGGACACCCCCCTTCCCCCACCACTCCCATTGCTCCCCGGGCGCTGTACAATAGCTGCCCACTGCTCCTAGTACTAGACTCCTTGTACTAGGATGGGTTAAAAGCAGAGGCCAAATTTCACTGTGTGTGCTGTGTGCTCTGCATGTGTGACCATTAAAGAGGGTTTCATCCCTCCCTATTCTATTCTATTCTATTCTATAAGATGTATGTAGATAGTATAAGAAATCTGCAGAATATGTTTAATGGTGGAGGTACACAGATATCGATAGATGTCTTGTAATGCACTGTTGAGGAACCTGTGACCCAAGTTTTTCATTCATTGCATAACTACACCGTAGTTGTGTATATGATATGTCAATGAACCTTAGAAAATCTTGAAATCTTGAAAGGGATGTGCCAAATAGCCATTATATACAGTTTTTAATTAACTATTAGTAGAGAATAACGAGTAATGAATATACTTTATAGGGATCTGCAGATAAATATTTAGCCTTCTCAAGCACCCACTACCAAATATCTCGCCTGATTGTTGGCACTTGACAATCACCTTTCTCTGAATTGTACTCAGGTGTAACTAAAGTCTGCTTTAAGGGTTGTTTATATTTCACATCATTAATCAGAATCTGCAAAGTAACTAAAATATATGTAGTGGAGTAAAAATACCAAGTTAACCTCTGAATTGTAGTGGAGTAGAATTACAAAGTAACAATGAGCTGGCATGTGGGTATATATTAATGCTTCGCATTATGGACACAAGCGATTTTCACCCATTTATTAATTACATGTTTTACATTTGTACACACCAATTTGTTTCCTATCCCCTAAACCTCCAGGGCTGTACACAGTTTAATACTGTCAACTTCTAATTTTGGGAAAAACGAAAACGTCTTTTAAAACTACAATTCCCAGTAGAGACGTGCCATAGAACATGTTGCGAAACACAATATCCAGCATGTGTAGTTCTGGGGGGGCGTTCGAGTCCAGTTTTGGAAAGTCTGCCGTGGTTTCGTTCCATTTCAAAGAGCTGTTTGGCGCTCGGTGTAACCTTGGCGCACTGCCACTCCAACATCCAATCCCAGAGTTTGAAGATTAATCACGGGGTTTGTCAACGGGACTGTAGTCCCAAACGATAGCTGGGGATTATGGGTAGTGTAGTGTCTTCGGCCATCCTAAACTCTGATTTTTTTTTCGGAAATCATATCGCATTAACACCATATCCCGAGGTGCATTGCGGCTAAAACATCCAATCAGCGAGCTGAGGATCTTTCCTACGTCACTTTACAGCCCCGCCCACTTTTGGGGAAACCAGCTGTCATTTGAACGGCGATCAAGCCTGAAGCCACAGAGCTCTTCTGTCCTTTCTTCTTAGAGGAAGTACAGAAACACGTAACTCTGGATTTGTTTTAATGTTTGAGGTGCAATAAACGACACAGCAGCTTTTTGGCATGTTACAACTATTATTTTCTGCCTCGCAGCTGGCGAAATTACAGCCTCGCCTACTGATTTTAATTTAACCATAGGATATCGAGCCCGATCGTCGATTTCAAATGTGTGCTCTAAAATGATATTTATAAATGACTATTATCATTATTATAAGCAAGACAATAAATGGCAAAGATATGTAGAAAATAAACGTATTTAAGATACGTTCATAACAAACGTAACGTGGGAGAAAATATGTTTCTAGAAGATATGTAGAAAATAAACGTATTTGAGATACGTTCATAACAAACGTAACGTGGGAGAAAATATGTTTCTAGAAGATATGTAGAAAATAAACGTATTTGAGATACGTTCATAACAAACGTAACGTGTAAGAAAATACGTTTCTAGAAGATATGTAGAAAATAAACGTATTTGAGATACGTTCGTAACAAACGTAACGTGGGAGAAAATACGTTTCTAGCTAAACGTAATTGAGAATGCAGTTTAGTTCTGTGGGAACGTAATTTGTAGGAGACAGGGTTGCTCCGGCAGAAATAAGAGCCATGGGACGCTACTCAAGATGGCGCAGACAAATCAACTTCCAGTGATACCGACGACCGACGACCGAGGAAATAAAAATAGTCGACCTGAGAAGGACCCTGTCACTCCACGGAGTTCACTCCGTCACGGAGGGGGAGTGTGTAGGGGTAGGGTGTAGGGCGTGGTTTGGGATTGGGCCTTTGTGTCCCTTTGACATCTGCTCTTCCTGTCACAAAACAGAGATGATGTGTGTGGTTCTTTTATTTATTTATGTTTTATTATTTATTCTACTATTTCACAATTAGACAGTTTACACATCCAAAAAACAAACAAAGGTTAGTAGAAGCAGGAGGCAGAAAGCAGAGTTTATACAGAGGTCGCCCTCCTGTTGCAGGATAAAGTAAAAAAAGATAATTCCGTAATTCAATACTCACACAGATAAACACAATTCTAAATATACATACACATGTACATACATACACCCATTTGCAGGGTGAAAATAAAATAATTAATTAAACAAAAAATTCCTACAAGTCCATGTTCAGATAACAAGACAGTTTCATTTCTCATCCTATTTTTACGTAAACTGATAATTAAGATAATCATGATAATAGTCATTGTTATAGTATTTATAATTATAATTAATATTATTATCACTATTTCCATTATCATATAATCATATCAACTTTTTTTAGTCTATTTGTAAGTTAATCCAATGACCGGATAAGGATAAAAACAAGTGAGGGTTTGACAGAGAGAAAGGATGTCTGTCATCTGATACTGGCGCATTGCTGCAACTTATAATGCATCCTTTGTTTGGGCCATAGCCAGCACTGGTTTTACGGAAACATAAAGCTCCTGATCCAACTCAGAGAAGTACATTCAAACCTGCCTCTTGATGATTCATGCAGACACTCCACTTGTGCACATATTTGAAGGTGAGCTACTTTTAATAGCGTTATTGTAGACGTGTTGGAATTCTCTTTGAGTGTTTCACGGGACCAGAGAGGGACCTTGGAAGAGAAAGTGGTAAGAATTCATGTTTCTATAAAATAACCTTGAACAATGATCTAATCCAAACGTTATCTTTGTGTTTTAGTCACATACAGAATCACAGGTATTTCTACATTACATTCCATCATGACTTTTTTTTAAATAAATAAGGGAACGGAACTGTAGCTTATTTTTCTAATCCAATTTTTATATTTTTTGCTGTATCATGGTAGCACTCGATGGGCAACTGATAAAGAATTGTACTTTTTAAAATTCCATTTGTCTATTTATTGTGTAAAGCAAGAATTTAAGTGAAACGTATTCGACGACAAAATACACGTTTGGTTTTCCCAGATTTATTTGGCTGATTTCAGGAATGTATAAAAGCGCCTCCATTTCAGGTTATCACCTAGTGTGTGTGTGCGTGTGTGTGTAATTATTTTTTTCTGTTACACTGTCTTTAGAGAAAAAAGTCCTCAACGTTTCAAGTTGAACATTTTCTTTTATATATCTTCTCGACTCAACACAAAAGGGTTCAAAAGTACTTTGAAATATTTGTGTCATTATGTTATAATACAGCAGAGACGTGTGTGTGTACCCACATATAGCATTTGTCTACATATAATAATAATTACTATAAATTGTACACTAGTCCCTTCAATACCATTACTAAAACCAAGAGTATGCAGCGGCTATTTTGTAATATTATGAATATATATATTTTATTGTGCTTTGTTAACGTGTGGTTTTCCTTAGCTCTAACATTACGATTTGAAAGGCAAAATGAACTCTGACAAAAGAAGAAGGGAAAAAAAAGGAAATAACGTTTTCCTAAAAGCAGAAAAGATATAAACTTTACTTTATTTTCATTACAGATGGCTGTTGGTAACAGAGGAACTCTTCAGACTGCATTTATTGGGTGTGTGTTGGTGGCCTGTGTATTATTATCATACACATATTATGAATATCATCATACAACCCATAATGTTCTAAAAGGAGTCTTCAAACAACGTAGTCCAATGCCTCCACAAACAAAGAGGTAAAGTGTGTGTGTGTGTGTGTGTGTGTGTGTGTGTGTGTGTGTGTGTGTGTGTGTGTGTGTGTGTGTGTGTGTGTGTCGCATAAGGCTGTACTTGGCACTATGACTGATTCGATGTAAGCATGTAAATGTCTCATGATGTCATAGGTCCTGTTTTCATATATAAATAATCAGGACAAATGCACAAAAGACTTGTGTTTGTGCAGAGCCAATAGCCGCGTTCACACCGGAGTACTTTTCACCGTACTTTTCGCGTTTAGTTCCGTTAGTACCCCTTATGTCGCGTTCACACCAAAAAGAGTACTTAATCTCGGGAACTTTTACCCCCATTTTTAGTGCCCGCTGAGAGATCGTACTTTCCTGTGGGAAAAGAGTGCCCCAGTGCTGATTGGCTGGGCGAATTGCAAACCACGCCCCGTACAACTGTGAAAATGTTGTGTAGAGCCGCCATTGTTTTTCCTCGCTACAAAAACCCAGCGCACCGACGGAGAGTAGTTTGTTTTTGAAAGCAGTTATGGCAAGCATCAAGAAATCATCGGAGCGGTGGAGTGATGAGGAGGTGTCGGCGCTTCTGGAGATCTACGCCGAGGACGCGACCCAGGGAATGCTACTGAAGCCAGTTCAGTAGCTTTCACTCGACCTGGGAATCGTGCACAGCCCCACGGCATACCGGCTAAAAATAAAGAAACTCAGGCAGGACTACAAACAAATTAAAGACTATTATAACAAGAGTGGTAACGACCAGAAGACCAGTAAATGGTACGAGCGCTTGGATGCTCTGCTAGGCCACAGACCTTTTCTCCCGGACAGCATCGACCATCTTGCAGTCGTTTCTTTTCATCAAGCACCGCCACCTGCCCTTCAGTCTGCCAAAAGCGTTCTCCACCACCACTCGTGCTCGGCTTGTTTTGTTATTGTACGCAAGTTGCTCAGGCTGCATTAACTCAGTTACAAAGCTGTATAACATGAGCACAAACAGCACAACTTCAGTCGACTCCATCTCCATCATGTCTGAGGTCGGAAGGTAAACAACAGACGCCTAATGTACAGCGAGTGGGTGGGCGTCGCAGTATACGCGGGAAGTTTTTCTTCTTCTTCTTCTCTTGTTTTGTAGCGGATTGCAGACAACTTTAAGGTGCATACCGCCACCTACTGTACTCGCCGTGAAGTGGTTTGTGGCCTGCCAGTAAAGCCAAAGCAGAAGAAGAAGAAGTGACGTCAGCGGCTCATTTGCGTAATCTTCCCTCAGGGAAAAGTACTCCGGTGTGAACGCGATCTGTACTAAGTGCGCTTTCACACCTAAGTACTTTGCCGTACTTAGTTCATCAGAACTTAGTTCATCAGAACTCTTTAGTTCTGATGAACTAAGTCCCCGGAGTTTTACGGGGCGTGGTTTGCAATCCGCCCAGCCAATCAGAAATGAGAACCTTTTTCACCCATGAAAGTACCTGCTCTCTAGCAGGGACTGAAAAGGGGGTGAAAAGGTTCTCATGAACTAAGACCCCGTTTACACAAGGACGATACGGGTTGTATCTGCATAGTTTCTCTTGCGTATAGCCCTTTCGTTTACACGAGGCCGTAACAAAACGATAGAAACGGACCCCGCAAACGATAACGGGTCCCCAGGTGGATAGATCTGAAAAAAGGAACGCTCTGGGAGGGCAAACGGATCCGTCTGTACGCCTCTATACGATCATTTTCTGATAACGATGAAATAGCCCCGCCTCCCTCTCCCCACGTCTCCCTCTCCCCACGTCTCCCTCTCCCCACCTCTCTTGCTCAGAGATCAGCTGCTGGGCTGTCAGAAGAGGGGGAGGAAAAGAGAGGCTCCGTTTATTATTCTTATATTATTATATAGAGTCGTTATCAATTTGTTTTAAAGCTCAATAAATAACAAAGAAGACCTCTGACAGGCACTTTTGGCTGATACAGGATCTGTTTAATCGCCATGTCGGTTTTCTTTATTGCACTCTCAAGACATAACATTAAATAGAAATATTTTAAATGTAACTAAAGTGTCAGTTGTACATGTCAGTAAACATTGTCAATATAAAATAAAGTGTCAGTTGTACTATATAATAACAGTAATAATAATATAAAATAAACTGTCCCAGCTGTAGGGAGTCTCAGCAGCAAACCCACTTTTATTATATATCTTCCTGAGACCCACTGCATCCGTCTGCCATAAACACTATGCAAACATACATGTTAGTTTTGGCCCATAGTGGACTCCATGTTGTGTTATGTGAAATGGGGGGGAATTAAAAGTTTAGGTCAAATAATATTTAAAATTATATAAATTATCATATTTGTGTATGTGCCCCTGCCATTCCCCCACAAGGTTGCAACATTGATGATAAATAAATGACAAATAAAGCTTTGCCAGTTTATAACCGATGAAACATGATGGTATCAGAATAATCACTTACATGTGATGTATAGGATGCTACACAGGTCACTAAAGATAAAGTGTCAGGAGAAATAAGCTTAATCGCCATGTCGGTTTTCTTTATTGCACTCTCAAGACATAACATTAAATAGAACAATTTTAAATGTAAATAAAGTGTCAGTTGTACATGTCAGTAAACATTATATATAAAATAAAGTCATAACAGTAATAACAATATAAAATAAACTGTCCCAGGTGTAGGGATATTCTCAGCAGCATACACACCTTAGTGCAACGTTGTGTGTCGTGTGTCAGTATTTACATTTACAAAAACTATACCAAATAAACTGTTATTAAATGCAGTTTGTCGCTCATCCTGCCGCTGCGCCGACGCTTCCTCATGGCGCAGCGCCCACACTTCATCCTGGTGCTGCTGGCGCTCCATCTGCTGCTTGAACACTTCTGCCTGGCGCTCCATCGAGGTGAGCATCTTGTCCTCCGTTTCCTGGGCCTTGGTGAACAGCACCATCTGATCTCCACGCAGCGACTCATTCACCACGGCACGCCGGTCCTCCAACGCCTGGGCGGTGTCAAAGAAATTGTGTCCGCTTTCCTAAGAGGGGAAAATAAGCAAGATACAAGATACTAGGAATGTTTTTTTTTTGTATTTTCACAAATAGAATTAAGGTTTCACAAATCTGAAACTGTGTTCTAAAGAATCTTTTGACTCTCTGGGATAATCCAGTCCAGATTTGATGAGTCTAGGTATAGTGGTTTTAGATCAGGACCTGGTCTAATGTGGTCTACATGTAAAAAAAGCACTGAAATCTCCCTTTTTTGTATTTTCACAAATAGAATTAAGGTTTCACAAATCTGAAACTGTGTTATAAAGAATGTTTGGCCTCTCTGGGATAATCCAGTCCAAATAAATCGACTATGCAGCGATTCAAGAGGTTCAAACACGGAGGATTGTTCCTTTTTGAAGAGTGCTTCATGTATGCTTGAACTTTGTTTAATGTTGTTGAGGCAAGTTAAACATAAAATATGATGAATATTATGAAATAAACATGATTGTGAACATCAGTTCGATGCGTAACGTTCTTTCAAGACAAAGTTACAGTGTGTGTACCTTTGCGTTTGGTTGCTGGTAAGGAGGACGAGCTAGCGCTGTGATCTAGAATGCAAAGCTCGCTTGTTTCCAATCCCGAGAGTTGTCCATCCTCGCCTGAAACACACGATTAGTGCCATGAGTTAGTGAAGCAAATTACAGAAACACTGCACAGTTATTCACAAGTCAAAACGTTTTCAGAGCGGCCGAGAATATCTAGCTAGCTAGATGTAGCTAGCTCGGAGCCTAGCATGGCTAGCTTGATCTACTGAGCAAATAAAAGTACATCTGAGACCATTATTGTGCAGATTAAAACCCCAGTGCATGTAGTTGATTTTACCTTCGTCGTGGTAGTCATCGTTGGCCACTGAATCCGCCGTTTGTAGTCCTGAGTTTCTTTATATTTAGCCGGCTGTGCACAATTCCCAGGTCGAGTGAAAGCTACCGAACTGGCTTCAGTAGCATTCCTTGGGTCGCCTCCTCGGCGTAGATCTCCAGAAGCGCCGACACCTCCTCATCATTTCTTGATGCTTGCCATAACTGCTTTCAAAAACAAACACAACGCACGGAGCGTTGTGTTTTTGTAGCGAGGAAAAACAATGGCGTCTCCACACAACATTTTCAGAGTTGTACGGGCGTGGTTTGCAATTCGCCCAGCCAATCAGCACTGGGGCACTTTTGGAGCACTTTTCACCCACAGAAAAGTACGCTCTCTGAGCTGGCTCTAAAAATGGGGGTAAAAGTACCCGAGATTAAGTACGATTGTTGGTGTGAACGCGACATAAGGGGTACTCACGGAACTAAAACGCGAAAAGTACGGTGAAAGTACTCCGGTGTGAACGCGGCTTCTGTCTTTAAAGGTGGGGTAGGTAATTTTGGAGAAACCAGCTCGAGTGCGCTAGAATTTGAAAATACACAACCAGAAAAAATCTGCCACTTCCTTACAGAGCCCCTCCTCCAATACACACAAACGTGCACATGACCAATGAGGGCACGAGATAAGTTTGTGCACAGATGGAAGGCTGACAGGAAGGTAGGCCATCCAGTTATTTTAGCCGGGCCGGCTCAAATGATTGGTCGTGCTTTTTACAGCGCCACGGCTTCCACAGAGGAATTTTTTTAATGTATTTATTCTCAAAGCATTTAATATATTCATTGCTATCGGGATGTTAAGAGCATTCCACGGAATATAACAAAAAGTGTTTCTGAAATAAATTACATACCCCACCTTTAAGTACAGTATGAAATGAATTAACTTACCGGGAATAATTGGGCTACAAAAACCTTTTGGATTTGTGGAATGGTGAAACATAATCTCATCAATGGAGTATAAACTATCACAGTTTATTCTGTGCATGCCCTTAATGTTGGACACAGACCGTATATAAGAAGTGCAGGTGGTCATCTAGATGTCAACTACTGGTTTTTCGACCTGTCAATCACAAGATAGCCCACCCGAAGTATGCATTATGAAAGTACATAATGCATCCATCAACTCATCGGGAAAAAATAAACTGTGTCCTGAGTAGGGAAGGGAGTTAGACTCAATTGCAGAAATATAAAAGGGGGAAGGTAAAACTCCCATAAGATGGAGTTGCTCAATATATGCTCAACACAGTTTATAAGAGGCACTTCTGAAATTGCTCACTTTTTAACAGAGGTTGTCAAATGGTTTAAACTGTTGTTCTTGGCTGGTAAAATGAAAAAGAAGTAAACTGAGTTTTCACTTCAGGACTTCCATGTAACACCCACCTTTACAGATTGCTGCCACCGAGACATCTTCCCCCACCTGGTCCTTGCACATGTGCCAAATCTGCAATAATCCTTAAAAACTCTCTGTTTGATGCTGAGTCTGAGGAGGTGGAGCAACGCCGACATAAGGAGTTCCAACAACACAAAGCCAGGTTGGCATGGGCATCGACATATAATTATAGTTTAAAATATCCAGCATCTTTGCACAGCACCTTTTTGATTTATGTTTTATGACTCTGACTCATCCTCACTAACCCTCCTATCTCCCCACCAGGACTGAGTCAGTGTTATCCACACGGCTGTATGCTCCGTCTAACTCTCCCCTGCAGTACCCTATCCAGGGTTTCAAAGTACGACCTATGACCTCCACCTTCATCCCAGGTATGCTACACCGTACAGTATGTCCTTTCATTACTCTGCATTATGACACAACAGAAGGCTGTGTTGGGTGAATCGTGGCAAAATACAATAAAAAAATTAAAGCTGCGAGCATTGATGAGCGGATCTTCGAACGATCTGCGCAGGTTCGCTGTTGTCCGCACGACACGATGTTTTCCAGACTCGGCCGTTAGCAAACGTGGGAAGTTTCGGGCCGATCAGACAATGTCTATAGGAGTTACAGCAGTAACATATTGTAAATTATAATAAAACGTGTATGATGACGAGGGATGACACCCCTCATAGGCTCAGATGTGTTGAGAGCTGCATCATTATCAGACCTGTGAAGTTTTGGGCTGTTTGGAGCATTTTTACCAGAGTTATTTGAAAATCGTGTTTTATGGCGAGCATTGTGTTTCCTTGGCAATGGCATTTGACAACATTTTTAAACTGACACTTAGACGTTGTCAGGGCTGGACTGTTAGCACAAATGTGAAGGTTGGGGCCTATTTGAGCATTTTCATAGGAGTTATAGCAACATCGTGTTTTATTGTGAGAAATGTGTTGCAATGGCAACAGCGTTTAAATGAAAACTCACAAGTGGCACAAAAACATGATGAGGGCCGGACCATTAACCATCATCTGAAGTCTGGTGGCGTTTGGACCATTTTCCTTTGAGTTACGACAACATCGTGTTTTATGGCGAGGGAAGCGTTGCTATGGAAACGCCATATGATGAAACCTTAGATTTGGCGTAGAGCTGTTCAGGGCCGCAGTGTTAACCATCATGTGACGTTTGGGGGCGTTCGGAGCATGTCAGTTGGAGTTATGACATCACCGTGTTCCATGGCGAGGGATCGCCTAGCATCGAGCGAACATGAAAATGGGCACCACTTCGTGGCTACGCCGTGTAGTGAAAAGTTTAGATTTTAGATAACTTTTCATCTTGGTCCCAAGATGCTATTTTCAAAATTTGGAGTCGATCGTAACGCCAAATTCAAAATGGCCAACTTCCTGTACGTTTTTGTATACACCTCCAAGAGGCTTTTTGGTTCGTCTTCGCACTTTAGATATACATAGCAAATTTCTTTAATTTATGCGAAAGTGAAAGTGGGGGGAGTTCATGTTTAAAACGGAAGTGGGCGTGGCTTGCGCAATTTTTTACGCACATTTCTGGAACCCATTTCACGTGTCTAATTTTCACCATTTCTTACGCCCGTGAACAATTTGGCCAGTTTTCATATATGTTGCGGGGGTCAAAAGTGCGTTCAAAGAGGGAAAATAATAATCATAATAATAATCCTATCGATATCAATAATGTGGGGAGCTACCTGCTGTCATGATTTCGGTGCTTTTTTCGATGCTTTTGCTCGTCGTTTGGACTGTTTTGTGTGTTTTTGTCAGTTTTGTTTACAATAGGGTCTTTGCAGATCTCTGGTCTCAGACCCTAGAAAATGCTCAGGAACTAGTGAGGCAGGAAGCTGGATTGTGATTTTTGGCTTGGTTTGATCACGCCCTGATATATTTGCGTTATACAGGTTATGTACAGGTTATGTGAGTCAACCAAGCCAGAGGTGAATGAGTGCACTTATGTAACTGGAGAATATGAAAGCACATTTAATTTTCATTTCAGGTCTAGCACTGCATGCACGACAAAGAAGCAACTACACGGTTGGTGTGATCCCACAGATACAGCTGATCTACAGAGAAACCTGGGATAGTGTTTGGCCGGTTCATACAAGATGGCTGCTGAGAGTTTGAACATATCATTTAAAGCTCCCATGTCATGCTTTTCCGGTTATTACCCGTCCCCTTGTGTGTTATGAAGGTTTTTATGCATGTAAACGGTGTGCAGAGTCAAAACCCTCAAAGTACACCCTGTAGCGAGTAAAACTCTAACACAGAAAATACCTCCCCAAAACGCCTCGTTGGAGATACGTCACTGCCCATTTGAGTCTTCCATTTAGTTCCGGGTACCGCCTGATGTCATGCGGTACCCGGAACGAAATGGACCAATCCCGAAGAGCTATGGCCACACCAGCAGCGGCGTGTTCCTCCTCCAGAGGTTCGAAGAACCGGCATTTCACAGACGAAAGCTTCCAAAACATTGCCCAGTTTGAGGCCGGATATGCACAGCTTGTTTGGACCGTTTGGAGCAGGGGAAGATCTGGGTATACAACCTGTAAGTTTGCATTGTTATTTGTGTATTTATCAAACAAGACTGTTTAAATGTGTAAACTGTGTTGGACTGCTAAGCCATTGACACAGTGCTAACTGTGCTAACTAAGTTGCTAGAGTTTCCATATATCAACTCTAATATCAGCAGATGGCCTTGCATACATGTATCTCATAGCAGGAGAATGTCTGCATTCACACACAAAATACCTATTGACAGTATACTGCGGGTGATTTGCCGGTCAGTCGCGAAACGTAATTACATTATAGCTGGCGTAGCGATCTAACACACGGAGCTTGAGCTAGTTTTGGTCAGAAAAACATTTTTGTGATGCTACGTTGCTAGCGTTTAAATATATCAACTACAATGTCAGCAGATGGCCTTACATGTTTGTCATGGCAGGAGAATGTCTGCAGTCACACACACGGAATACTCATACAGTATACTCCGGTTTACCGTACATTGTGACCATACATATACTGCATGTAGCTAACGAGGCTAGCTGTATGCTAGCGCAAAACAATGTATTCATGCAAGTTACATTGTATGGTAGCAGAATACCCGTATACGATTGCAATTATAAACACGTTATTGCTAGCCTAATATGAACCACTAGCTTTTGTTCATAGTAGTTTTATTACACTGCATTATAGTTGCCTTTCCTCCAAGCTAACGTTCATATCGTGTTAGCTACCAAGGTAAACAAAGCTAGGTTAGCATATTAGCAGGCAAGCTGTTCATTACACAACTACTACTAACGAATCTAAAACAACTAAGTTTCTCTAATATTTTGTGATTTGCATTTGATTTCGTCCAGCCAGATCCTGGCGGACAATCCATGACGGGGAAGGGATTCTACTGAGGGTGCTAAAAGGCACCGCACCGCACCGGCTGTGCGCAGGCAAGAGGAGGAGGAATGGATGATATACCGTGTATATATGTATATTTATGTTCATTTTGTACATTTCTAAAAATAAAGTTTAATGGAAATACTTAGTAGGCCTATCCTTTCTTCCCTGAATTCATATATAGCAAACCATGATTTGATTTCTCATCAAACAGTAGTAGTTTATAACGGGTAAAAATAACTTACTCTTTGTTATGAGAGTAGCTCGTAGGCCACAACGGAAAGACAAGGAGACATACACGAGTTTACAAAACCACGGCACATTTATTGTGGTAAATGCAAAGATAGGTGGTTGAGAGGATCGCAGAGTTAGTCTTCCTGCAGCCGCTTTGGAGAGAGACTGGGGCCGTAGTGTCCGGAGGTGTCCGTGATCGTGCTGATTACCCTCTTCAGCTCCACCCCATCGTAAGACAAAGGCCCTGGGGCCGTCACACTCTTCTATAACAACAGTTAAAAATATATATGTATATAAAATATACCGCTGTACCGACGCCATGATAAGACTGATGTTACGCTGAGAGCAGCCGGGAAAAGCACTGACATGGGCGCAGCCTCTCTGGTGGTTGACTAATCAGAACGAGTGGCCGAGCTGACCAATCGGAGCACACTAGGCTCACAGGGAGGGGGGGGCAAGAGCTCCAACGAGTCGTTTAGTGGAGAAAGTGAATACTGCTGAATACACATGCTTGACAGAGATGCTGTATGCGAAACCAATGTGAGTTTGGAAAATTGCACAGTATAAATCTATTTTAGTATACCTCAACAATGTAATTATGATCAGTGGAAATGGCCATGACATGGGCCCTTTAAAAACATGTAATATGTATAAAACATGCCACATGTAGAAAACATTGATGGTATTATTATTTTGCACTTGATTTGGAAGTGAGGACGAAACAGAAAACAATACCGTTTGATGACGAAGGCAAAGATGTGTCATATTAGAGTCACATGAAAATGATTTATATATTCATAGAAACGATCAGATTGTACAGCAGCCATCTTGGTGTAGTTCTTGGGCAAAGGGACTCACTGAAAATACCGGGTACAGGTCCTGAAACTGAGAATCTTTGAAAGCCTATATTTTTATTTTGTAATTCTTCATCTTATGCCAAAAGTCTTATTGTTCCATAATTGTATTGTTGCCATATTGCTGGGAAAACATTTATCTCCCCTGAATATCCAAAGTTAAAGCTAATGAATATTATGAAAGAGACTTCCCAATCTCCATGGTCTTTCAAACATTCTTTACCAATTGGACTGACTTTAGGGGGTGTAGCTGTTGATTTCGACGCTGTGTTGTGAAATGGTTTTCTTTAATTTCTATAACATTAAAGGGCCCATGTCATGCTTTTCCGGTTATTACCCGTCCCCTTGTGTGTTATGAAGGTTTTTATGCATGTAAACGGTGTGCAGAGTCACAAACCCTCAAAGTACACCCTGTAGAGAGTAAAACTCTAACACAGAAAATACCTCCCCAAAAAGGCCTCGTTGGAGATACGTCATTGTCCATTTGATTCTTCCAATTCGTTCCGGGTACGGCATGATGTCAAGCCGTACCCGGAACGAAATGGACCAATCCGTGGAGCCGTTACGTTACATCCGCGGAGCCGTTACGTTAAGCCCCCGCTGATTGGTCCAAATTGACCAATCCACGGACTTCCTCACACACACACCTGTGTGCAGGGAGCAGGCAGCTCAGCTGATTTCTCCTCCCTGGCTGCAGGCTGATAACAGACAGTTGGGATCGCGGCAAAATTCTCTCTGCAGACCCATTCTCACAGCGTTTATCAACCTTTTTCTTACTCAATATCAAGCCACACTTATTGTTTTTACTTCGGCTGTGACTTTGTGTGTGCTCAGGATGAGTTTAGCTGTGTATCGCTAACAAGGAAACAACACCTCCACGGAGCTCAGCGCGATTCACAACGTCCCGACCAATCAGAGCACACTGTGCTCACAGGGAGGGTGGGGGCTGGAGCTATTGGAGCTACAACGAGCCGTTAAAGGCAGAGAGTGAAATTCAGTGAATACACGTAGTTTATAGAGATGCTGTATGAGAAACCAATGTGAGTTTGGAAAATTGCACAATATAAATCTATTCTAGTAGACCTCAACAATGGAATTATGATCAGTGGAAATGGCTATGACATGGGCCCTTTAATAAATTATAAAAAGTGAACAAATGCATTCCAAAACAAATTGATTCTGAAATCCTGTTGCCCAACCTGAACTTTTGTCAGACTTCTAACTTTTTCACAAAATCTCTTTCTCAAAATTCCGACTTTTTCTGAACATCTTAAAATCGACTTCATTCTGAAAATCGCAGAATTCAGACTATTTCTCAAAACTTTGACTTAAAATGTAGACTTTTATCTTCAAATTCTGACTTTTTTGTAAAAATCTCAAAAATTCAACTTTTTTCAGAAATGTAAAAATATATTTTTTTATTTAAAGAAAATCTCAGAATTCTGACAGAAATGTCTCATTTTCTGACTTCGTTCTAAAAATGTGGACTTCCTTTCAGAAATGTCTAGGGATTCTGACTTTTCCTCACAATTCAGATTTTTTGTCAAAATGTTGACTTTTTTCACAATAAAACGCAGGGCAACAGTTTCTGCACACCAGCCTTGATCAAAGAGTCCTTGCAATATAAAAAGTTCACATTGGATTTGATCATTATCTGATGAAAAGCACAGGTTACCCAAAATCCTTTGCAATTAAATGCTAACGTTTTTCTGAGTAGGACGCAAAATAATTGATCTTTATTTTTTCAGCCCATCTATTTTTCAAACTTTTTCGTCCTTTCCTGTTTATCTTGATGTATAGATTAGAGAATAATGGTACATTTTCTTTATTGGTTAAAATAAATGATGAAGATTGACGATTTACTGAGGTGTGTCGACTCTATGTCTTTTTGGAAGTGTCCAAAGGAGTCCTGAAAACAGTGATTCCAGCTGGAGGAGCACAGGTCCATGGTGAGATTTAACTAAATCTGACTGGTTAAACAAATAAACAAACAATATCTGACAATGGTTGACGTTCTGCATTTACTTAAGTAACTTTTCAGACCAGATTTAAAGTAGGATCAAGTGCATCATTGCTAAATTCTGTGCACTGTCTGACAGTTAGGAAGCCGTACCAGTGATTGTTTTTTAAGAGGCATCTGAATGTAGCCGTAGCGTATGGCATCAATAATTCAAAATAACCGAATACAATTATTATTGTAATTATATAACGAAGCATCATTCATTTTTGTCCATGTGTTCTCTCTTTAATATTGTGGAATAACACAACAGGTAATGGTGAGAGCCGACTGATGATGGAGTCCAGCAGCCTGGAGACCCTCAATGAGCTGCTGGCTGATGTGACCTATACCAGCACTGTTTACCACATACACACCGGAGACCTCGGTATGCATTTGAGACATTACAAATAATCCTTATTTAGAAAAATTGTCTTTGCAGAAAGGAAACTCACAAAATAACATGCATAAGACCTATTAGACAAAATGTAATCAAAGATAATTGCAAAATCATAAAGTTATCAATTGTACAGGTTTGTTTTTATAAATGTTTGTTTCCGTGTGTGTTTAATCTAGAGACTTTTAAATGTGAAAGTGTGCCCACTAATTGCTTTTACTACCTAATGTATTATCAGTGAGACACAGCTTAGCTTTCCTCTTCTGTTCTCAGCATCCTTCCAGTTTGAAGACCATGAAGGTGTGTTTCCCATTACCATCAAACAGCCTCAACCTCCAGTCCTGTACGACATGGGAACAGGTGGGAGTTCACTCACCGTGGGGATAAAACACTAATTTATTTATGGCAGGAAGCAGCTGCTTCTCTTCTTTGTGGGAAATACATTCAAGCATCAATCAGTGAGCCATATAAAAGCTAAAATGCTGTATAGTATATTCCGGACTACTTCACCAATCCTGTTAATGTTGACCAATGTAAAATCAGTTACCGTTGAAATAATCCATACCTAATTCAAGACACAAATTGAACAGATCTGTCAGGTCTGAACACGTAAACAGAACAGCCATGAGCTAACAGCATGGACAGTGGAACTCATGATGTCTTCATGTGTCTTTTCTTGAAAAAACTCTTCTTTTTATTTCAGATATCAACTCTCAAGTCACCATCACCACAAAGACGTTCCTGCGCTACCCAGAACTCAATCGGTTGTTGAAAAGCATCCGGCAGTTCTATAAAGACATAGAAGTCATCATCGCAGATGACAGCTTTGTAACAGAGAACATTACTGGTGGAGATCATACCAAACATTTCATCATGCCTCCAGCACAGGTACATTTAAAAGTGGCACTATACAACACAAATGAGCATTACATGGAATTTGGCTTTAGAAAATAGAAAAGGCAGTGAGTTAACAAGGGGAGGGCATAGGCAACCTGTTTTACCTCAACTGGACCGATTTATCCTCACACAACTTTGCAATATCCCTGGATGTTAGGGGGGTCAGAATTTGGAAAAGGGCCACTGGGCGCCCACTTTCTCCCATCTCAAAACTGTCTCTACTTTCAAGTTATTAACTGACAACGATGGTCCAATCATGAAATCATATTTTCCTCCATCAGGGCTGGTTTGCTGGCAGGAACCTGGCGGTCTCCCAGGTCACCACCAAGTACTTCCTGTGGGTGGACGATGACTTCCAGTTTACCAAGTGGACGAATATCGAAGAGATGGTGAGAGTGATGGAGGCGAACCCTGAACTCGACGTGGTAAGTCAAAGCAAGACACGGCAAGTTTTATTTATACAGCACATGAATAAAAAAAAACATGATGGATATAAATAGAAGAATAATTAAAGCTGCGAGCAGCGATGAGCGGTCGTTCGGCGATCCGTGCAGGTTCGCTGTTGTCCGCACGTCGGCGCTTCACGCAGGTGTCTTGAGGACTCAGCCGTTGCCAAATTTGGGAAGTTTCGGGCCAATCAGATAATGTCTTTAGGACTTACATCAGTAACATAAGCACTGTGTTTGTTTGCCAGTAATCTGTCGCCATGGCAACTGCATATGATGACACCCCATATTAGGCTTAAATGTCTTGAGGTCCGCATCGTTATCAAACATGTGACATTTTGGGCCGTTAGGAGCATGTTCACTGGAGTTATGGGAAAAACCGTGTTTCACGGCGAGCATTGTGTTTCCATGGCAACGGCATTTGACGAAATCTCAAAACTGACACGTAAATGTCTTCAAGGCTGGGCTGTTAACACACACATGAAGTTTGAAAACGTTTTGACCATTTACACAGGAGTCATCCCAGCTAGCGGGGAACGTTCTCACAACTTTGGCTAACGTTACCTATTGGTTCTAATAAGGGTTTAAAGAAACGTTTTCATCTGATGTTCAAAGAACCTTTTTAGGATGTTTATTTTTTCAAACAATGTTCCTATAAGGTTTAAGGTTAACTAAGACATAACGTTTTAACTGCAACATTCAGAGGATGTTTTGAGGATGTTATTGAGGCCTGAGATGACAGAAAGTTTTTTTATAAAACGTTTCTTTAATGTGATATGTTAACAAAGGTGGAACGTTTTGCCTGCAACATTCTGAGGATGTTTTTTGGACGTTGCTGGGTAACACATTAAAGATGTTCTTTATAAAATGTTCCCTCAATGTTACATGATAACAAATGAAGAACATTCTCCAAGAAACATTCTGAAAATGTTTTCAGGATGTTATTCTCTTTTTTATAAAACGTTCCTGTTATGGCAAATATTAACACGGTCATGGTCAGATTTATTTCTAGAGCGCTTTAAAAAAACAGACTTGTTGCATTTGTTTGAAAAGAATGTTTTAAAAAAATCTGATGTCACCTTTTGAAAAAAACAAACAAGCACGTAATTCATGATAAGCTGTAAGCAGATATTGCATGTTTGCGGTGGCATGTGTGAGTTCCCAGCTAGAAATGTTTGTTACCATTCGTTGTTCTAGGAATGTTTTCAACGGGACGTTTTATTTTGGTTCCCAGAATGTTCTTCTGAAAGGTAGGATAACGTTCTTTAAAAACATTCTGGAAATGTTTGGTGATAACTTTCTTAAGATGTTTTTGATAACCTTCTTAAGATGTTTTTGATAACCTTCTTAAGATGTTTTTGATAACCTTCTTAAGATGTTTTTGATAACATTGTTAGAACATTATGCCCTACTGTTCTTAAAACGTTTTCAGCGGGACGTTTTATTTTGGTTCCCAGAATGTTCTTCTGAAAGGTAGGATAACGTTCTCTAAAAACATTCTTAACATTTTTGGTGATAACTTTCTTAAGATGTATGAGCGCATTGAGACAATGAATAGGACGTATAAAAACGAATTTATGCATGCCAATATTCACTCACATGCACTTATAATCACACTAAGGTATGGAGGCCCACAGTATTCATAATATCATATGTGTAAAATATCCGAAAATAATCACACTTTTTTCTGACTATAAAGGTTGCGTCTCGTATGTAGGTTCTAACTGTTAGATAAGCTATCTGGCCGTGTGTGGTGTGTGAGGGCTGCGTATAAACAGTGTCCGCTGTTTATGCATATTGGATAAAAATCGTTATTGCACCCTTTAGATTTGAGACCGACAGACATGCCAGCTAGCGGGGAACGTTCTCACAACTTTGGCTAACATTACCTACAGGTTCTAATAAGGTTTTAAAGAAACGTTTTAATCTGATGTTCAAAGAACCTTTTTAGGATTTTTATTTTTTCAAATAATGTTCCTATAAGGTTTAAGGTTAACTAAGACATAACGTTTTAACTGCAACATTCAGAGGATGTTTTGAGGATGTTATTGAGGCCTGAGATGACAGAAAGTTTTTTTATAAAATGTTCCTTTAATGTGATATGTTAACAAAGGTGGAACGTTTTGCCTGCAACATTCTAAGGATGTGTTTTGGACGTTGTTGGGTAACTAATTAAAGATGTTCTTTATAAAATGTTCCCTCAATGTTACATGATAACAAATGAAGAACATTCTCCAAGCAACATTCTGAAAATGTTTTCAGGATGTTATTGAGGCCTGAGATGACAAAGTGTTTTATAAAATGTTCCTTTAATGTGATATGTTAACAAAGGTGGAACATTTTGCCTCCAACATTTAAAGGATGTGTTTTGGACGTTGTTGGGGTAACACATTAAAGATGTTCTTTATAAAACATTCCCTCAATGTTACATGATAACCAAAGAAGAACATTTTGAAAGCAACATTTGGATAATGTTTTCAGGAGGTTATTCTTTTTTTATAAAACGTTCCTGTGATGCGAAATATTAACACGGTCATGGTCAACGTCAGATTTATTTGTAGTGCGCTTTAAAATACAAACTTGTTGCATTTGTTTGAAAAGGATGTTTAAAAAAAAATCTGATGTCACCACATTTTCCTTTTTAAAAAAGCATGTAATTCATGATATTGCATGTTTGCGTAGGCATGTCTGAGTTCCCAGCTAGACATTGTTGGTTCTAAAAACATTTTGAGAATGTTACCATTCATTGTTCTAGGTATGGTTTCATTGAGAAGTTTTATTTTGGTTCCTAGAATGTACTGTACTTCTGAAAGGTAGGATAACGTTCTCTAAAAACATTCTTAAAATGTTTGGTGATAACATTGTTCGAACATTATACCCCAAGTGTTTTTGTTGTTTATGCACATATCTCTATTGTCATATGGATCGAATAACACTTAGAAAACCAAAGACAGACATAGAAGAACGGACTGACTATCACTGCCCGTCCCTTAAACCCCGGATCCTTCATCTGAAGTCTGGGGCTATTGGGAGGATTTTCCGTGTAGTTACGACAACATCATGTTTTATGGTGAGCATTGTGTTCCCATAGCAACGGCCTATGATGACACCCAATAATAAATGTAGAGCTGTTCAGGATCGGAGTGTTAATGATAGTCTGAAGTCTGGTCCCGTTTGGACCATTTTCCATGGAGTTACAGCGACATCGTGTTTTATGGAGAGGGATGCTTGCTATGGAAATGCCATATGATGAAACCTTAGATTTGGCGTAGAGCTGTTCAGGGCCGCAGTGTTAACCGTCAGCTGGAGTTTGGCGGCGTTCGGAGCATGTCAGTTGGAGTTATGATATCACCGTGTTCCATGGCGAGGGATGCATTGAAAATGGGCGCCACATCACCACAACGTCGTGCGTTGAATTTACGACTTGGATAACTTTTCATCCCCCTGGTCTGGAGATGCTACTTTCAAAATGTTGAGTCGATTGGATAAAATCCCTTGGAGTAGATTGTGAAAGTATTGTACGTGATAAAATGATTTTTTCCAAGGCCAAATTCAAAATGGCCGACTTCCTGTACGTTTATTTATACACCTCCAAGAGGCTTTTTGGTTCGTCTCTGCACTTAAGATGTACTTGCCAAATTTGGTTTGTTTACCTGAAAGGGTGGGGAGTTTACGTTAAAAATGGAAGTGGGCGTGGTTTACCATTCAAACCTTTATAAACCAACAGCAGTATTTTGAAGTCAAGTCTGATAGGAAGTCAATTTAAAGACCTCAGAACTGGAGTGATCCACTTTCTAAGTGTTAGCGGGGACTTGAAGACACCATTACAGTAGTCGAGTCGACTGAAGATGAACGCATGGACAAGTTTTTCCAAATCCTGCAGTCAGAAGTCCTTTATTCGTGGATATATTTCATCAAGGTGCTAGTAGGCTGACTTTGTAACAGTCTTAGGTGCCGTTTACACGAGGAGAAAACTGCTTGTATCTGCATAGTTTCGCGTGCGTATAGCCCTATTATTTACACGAGGCCGATAGAAACTGACCCCACAAACGATAACGGGTCCCAAGGTGCATAGATTTGCAAACGAAACGCTCTGGGGGGTCAACCGAGTCCGTGTAATCACCTCTATACGAATATTTCCTGAAAAAATAACGATAGCCCCACCTCTCCTGCTCACTGCTGTAGCAACTATCAAAAATAGCTGTGTTAATTAAACTCACAAGGGGTTCTTGAATGAAATAATATTATAAAAGGCAAACCAGAATTGTTAACGCCCAATATACTCCTTAAACAAAATAAACAGAGTCAGATTTCATGCATTGATCCATTATATTGACAAAGGAGCGATCTCACCCGGTGTTTGTAGAGAATATCTCTCTTTCTGAGCGCGTCCTCTCCACGGAGACGTGCTTCTTGTTCGGTCGATGCAATATCCACAGATTCGGTTTCTTTCAGTTAACTTCCCCGTTGCATCTATCCATATGCTGAGGAAATTACTATATCCCGCTGAATACCAGCAATCGCCACACACACTTCCTCCTGTCAGTAGCTACTGCTAGTGCTACTGCTACTGACCATGCTACAGATATTAGTGCAAAATCTACAGCTCCTCTACCACAACCATCAGCAACAAGTGGACATGGAGAATTACATGAACTACATGTTGCTAAATACGCCGCGGGCGTAAACAGAAGGGTAGCCATGGCAACATTGCTGCGGGGCTGCTCTGGGCTGCTCTTCTTCGCTGCTTTTGGTGTATGTTGGCGGAAGTTACAGCGCCACTTACAGTCCCGGCATATGTACTACAGCGTTTCCAGACACACAACACACAACTTAACTTTACGGGGCCAAAACGGCAAATACGTCTTACCTTTGCTGTTTTCTGATCAAAGGTTGTGTTCAATGGCATTAAAACACATAAAAACGCCTCTGAAGGTTAATCCAATGTCTCTGTGTCCCTTTGAAATGATTACTGATAATCCATCATGATTCATATTTATGACAATAAGAGTAGTTTTCATATATAGCCGCTATGAGAGCTACGAGAGTGTATGAGAGCTTCCGGTTTTGGGCATGCTGGCTGCGCTTCACTCTCATTCACCAATGGTAATGTTTAGATGGATTTAGGCACTCCCCCTTGATTCTATTGGCTCTAACAGTTCAAATCACCAAAATCGACCAATGGGTTCCAGAGATATGGCAAATACACCCAAATGACCCCAGCGGTGGGTTATTTTTTCTAAACCTCTCTAAAAAGGTCAAATTTCACTTGTTTTG